AATATTATGACTTCATTCTTATAATATCCTGACTTTATTCTCATCATATTATGACTTTATTCTCATAATATTATGACTTCATTCTTATAATATCCTGACTTTATTCTCATAATATCCTAACTTTATTCTCATATTATGACTTTATTCTCATAATATTATGACTTCATTCTTATAATATCCTGACTTTATTCTCATAATATCCTAACTTTATTCTCATATTATGACTTTATTCTCATAATATTATGACTTCATTCTTATAATATCCTGACTTTATTCTCATAATATCCTAACTTTATTCTCATATTATGACTTTATTCTCATAATATTATGACTTCATTCTTATAATATCCTGACTTTATTCTCATAATATCCTAACTTTATTCTCATATTATGACTTTATTCTCATAATATTATGACTTCATTCTTATAATATCCTGACTTTATTCTCATAATATCCTAACTTTATTCTCATATTATGACTTTATTCTCATAATATTATGACTTCATTCTTGTAATATCCTGACTTTATTCTCTTAAAAACGATTGTTGTAGCTTCTCTGGTAAACCGTGACTGACAGGACCCAAACTACTCCCTATCCCTCCTATCTTGTTTTTTAAACTGTAGGAATAGTATGACAGAAATAAATTGTGGCTTTGACGTCATAAACTGTGGTATACCTTGAAGCTGGTTATTGGCCCATGCCTATGTGTAAAGATACAGGGTTGGGTGAAATATTTCTGAAGTTCCATGTATGAGAGTGTGTGTGTGCGTGCACTGGCAAGCTTTTAAAAAGGGTTGTTTTTTTAGATAAATGCAGCTGTAAGAAATAAAAAACACCAAGGTTTTGTTATTGTGTAATAAAACCATCAAAGAACTTTAAAGCTTTCTGTAGCAATGCATAATCCAGCTGGATATTTTCTGAGTACTTACCTGCTACTGACCAGGTATGTGTCTGATACTTTCTGGGTATGTAGATGATATAAATTAGGTACCTTTCAATACTTATATCGAGTTCATTATGAGTTTGTACCTGGTATTTACAAGGCATTACTGGTCATCTACCATAGACAAGTATTAAATGACTCCATTCAGAAACCGGGAAGTTGAAGCCAGAGCAGTTACAGCGCCCCCACAGGATGGTCCCAGTACAAGTTTTAATTCCTGTCCTGCCATGTAAACCACTGGGACTTTGTACTTGGAAAAATAAAACACCTGCTCATTTTTTCCAGGTGTTGACTGTTGATGATTCAAATAAGCCTCATTTACAGACAGCTCTGTGAAATGGGCTCACAGACCAGTTCATCTTAAAGCTCTCTCAGGTCATTCATAAATCACAAGTAAAGCCGTTGTGGTTCAGTATTGTTAAGCTAACGACAAAGTTGCTGATCCTCGTTATCTTCAATATTCCCTCTATAATAAATCTGTTTGTTGTTTAATCCTGTGAGCGGGGCGGTTTGTCACTAATGTCATCAGTTTATCATCATTGAGCCACAGCTACCGAGGGTTTTTTCACAAGTCAGCCTGCTCAGCTCTTCCCTTGGCAGCTCAGACTGTCTCCGTGTGTCTTCTGAATGATCTGAGGGAGACAAAACAGTCCTGGACTGAGCCGTCTGGTGAATGAGGCTATAGTTCTTAGCTTGTTCTAATGTTCATTTTTAAAGGTTAGGTGTAATTCATTTATGCTACAGTTAATTTATACTTAAAAGGAATATCTGTACCACCATGGTTTTGTGTGGGGGGAGTAGGCGGGGCTTAAACCCCACATTCTGAGGGAACAGATTATAGTCCCAAAAGGACACCGTAACAGATTCTACACTGCCTGGCCCAAACAAAATCGCCACCAAAAAAGTCACACATTTCGCTTAGCTTTGATTACGGCACACCTTCTCTGTGGCGTTGTTTGATTAGCTTCTTCAATGTCACAAGATTTATTTCCATCCACTGTTGCTTTAATGTTTCAAGATCTCACATTGATGATGGTAGAGTCTGACCTTCTCCAGCACATCTCAAAGATTCTCAGTGGACTCTGTGGAGCCAATGTGTGAAAATGGTCTCATGCTCCCAGAACCACTCTTTCACAATAAGAGCCCCATGAATTCTAGCATTGTCATCTTGGAATATGTCCGTGCCATCAGGGAAGAAACAATCATTGATGGAATAACCTGGTCATTCAGTATATTCAGGTCAGCTGACCTCATTCTTTGAGCACAGACTGTTGCTGAACCTAGACCTGACCAACTGCAACAACCCCACATCATAGACCTTATTAAATCCAGGTGGACACTTGTTTTTGGGTCAGGCAGTGTATAATCTGGGTCCAAGTTAGTTTCAGTTCCCAATAATGGGAGAAGCCGGGACACTTTGTAAAGTATAATAAC